AGCGATTCATCATCAATGATAATTAAAAATCAACAAACATCGCAGCCATGAGAACACGATGATGACGGACGAATTAATAGAATGATGAAATACGATAACGGACTTATTGAAACAGTGATCAAACACTTTCTCCATAATAAGCAATATTATCTCTGTTGCATTGCATGTCTCTGACTTGGATGTGAACTAAAAGACGCCATTCATCAAACCGACAAAATTAATTATATAAATCAAAGTGTAAAATAGCAGGTTCCGGGAACGTAGGTAATGTTCAATAAACGACGATTATAAGCAGAAGGTTTTAAGCGCCACACGGGGAAAAACAGAGAGATGTTACAAAAGTATACATACGTCTTCAGTGTATGAATTATGAAAATAAAAATGAATGGATAGATTAATTCATGTCTATGGTATATGTGTGGAGGTGTCGGTTCATTCACTTGACTCTCAATCCAACTAAGGGTTGAGGGTCCTTTGGCAAGATATTAATCTATACGCTTGCTACACTCCATCCATGCATGTGCATGTAATGGGTACCTGGAAATCGTTAGGGTTAGAGTAAAGCAGGGCCCTCGGACGGAACAGCCTTGAAGCTGACGGGGCTTCCGTGGGTAAACAAAATAATGTTTATTATCATTATTCATATTCAACGAAAAGTAGTCAATACAGACTCATAAACGCCTGAAAATACACAATTTTTTTCAAAGCTCAATAATTTAAGACGCTGATAGATATGATCAATGGAGGGAAGGATGTGGAAATGAAGAAACTAAAGAAGAGGCTTTGTCAGTAGAAAATAAAAAAAAAACGGGAGAGGCAGGTAATCTATTTCTGAATTGTGAGCGGAAATGTCTTGACTCACAAATGGCCATAGATCATAACAAGACATTTTTATTTGTTCATTGTAGAGAACATCACATTTTTAACAAATATAAATCAAATTTAATTGAAATTCATCTTTCCCCATTACTTTCATTGGTGATAATTTTAATTTCAGTTCTCTCCATGCACATATCACAAAACAGAGGAAGTAATTATTTTCTTTCCAATTATTTCCAAACCGTTATACCTAGAATTTTTAGGAAAAACACGATTGCAAAAGATTTTTTGAAAAATCAATCTGGACAAATTTTGATAGCTTATTAGCTTAAAGAAATCTCAGATTCCGTCAACAAAAATGGATAACCAAGGAGCCGTCCTGACCAACAAAATATGATTCGTTTGGATTCTCAGAGGGCGGTATAGCGTATCTTTGGAAGACACTCATTGATTACTGAACGATAACAAGGAAATCTCTCTCAATCTCTCTTTTGCTCTCTCGTCCTCTCTCTCTCTTACTCTCTCTCTCTCACTCTCTCTCTCTCACTCTCTCTCTCTCCCTTTCTTTCTTCCCTTGTTTGCACAGTCATCACCACCAGTCCACCACCAACATCACCACCATCCAGGGGCGGCGACAGGTTATTTTGTTAGGGGGCGAACGGGCGCGCCACGCAGGGGGTGTCTGAGAGGGGATATGCCCCCTCGGAAGATGAAGAATTGTTTGAAATTGATGCTTAAATGGCTCGCTTTGGTGCATACTTTTTGCCAAATTAAAAAAAAACAAAAAACAGTCTTTAGTTCAACTAACATGAACAATAACGCAGAGGTGTGTCTGAGGGGGATGTACCCCACTCAGAAGTTGAAGACTTTTTTTAAATTGATGGATAAATGACTCGATTTGGTGCATACTTTTGCGAGATTAAAAAGAAAACAGTCTTAAGTTCAACTAACAAGGAACAAGAACGCAGGGGGGGGGGGGGTCACCATATTTCCTCAGAAGGGTTGTTATAGATGAATTTGTCGTTTCCATTGAACAATCAGCCATAAGGTTTAGGAGATACAAGGGATTAATTTTTTTTTTTCAGTTGGTGAAAGGTTTTTCCTCGTAAACCAATGTTTGAACTTCCGGTAATGTGAATGTAATAATGACGCGTCTATTAATACAATCTGATTTGGCTTGCTTTTTCTCTTTTTCTTTATTTTCTCTATCTTTATTTTTTTTTCCTTTCCCCCCGCCCTCCCTTACGTCATAATTTACATTTTATAGTTCTCTTTCTCCTGGCCTTCCTCCTTCTTGTCCCCTTCCTTTTCTTTTTTTCTCCTTTCCTTTTCCTTCTCCTTTTCCTCTTTCTCCTTCCCTTCCTCTTCCCTTTTTTCAAAATGATAGGGGCGGCCGCACCCCGTGTCCCCCTGCCACCATCACCATCAGCAGCAGTATATCACCATAATGTTTTGTATTCATCGCTTTTAATCAAATAAGAGCAAATGATTTTAAAACTATGAATACATTTGTAAATTTAGAAATAGCATAGCTACCCAACAGTCGTCCGAAGATCAGGTATCGGTTATGTATCGGTAATTCAAATTGTAATCAATATGATCAATATTACATGTTACGATAGTTTTTGACTTCAGCATGCTTTAAACAAATTTTAAAATGAGGTTCTAAATTATGAAAATCACTCATGTTATTAAAAACATACATATTCGTATTGACTAGTTCCCAGAGCGATATTTTAAAATCAAACCAAAATGCCATCCGAAACCTCATAGACTCGTGAGATAGAGGGAGGAAAAATAATGGAAAAAATGGAAAGAGTAGCTCTACTCCCCGTCTCCCTTAGCAATTTTCCAAATTAAATCGGGTAGATCAGAAAGAAAAAGACTAATGCATAATTAGAATTCAGGTTATATATCTTCGCGACCAAAGTTCCCCCTGCATTGTTTATAACAAAAGAAAAGTAATGTACTCCAAACACAACTGATCTTTTTTTAAAAAACATCCATACGTTTTACATTTCTGTTTTCGCCTATTACTATTACACTTTTCCCCATCCCAGTCAGCATCCCTTTCAAATCGGTTTCCTTTTCCAGTCTCCTTTTCAACTCCCATTTTCACCTCTCTCTCTTTCTTTCTCCGTCTCTCTCTTCATTATCTCCTTTCTACATTTCCCATGATGTCCATGGCTCTTACTTTTTGCTGTTAAAAACTTTCAATTTTCCGTCTCCCTCTCCCTCGAGTCCCCTTTCGCTTCCCGCGGCCTCGTCTCACTATCATAATTTCCTCAAACTCTGACTCCTAGCTTCTTCTACTTGCCTCACTCATTGCCAATAAAGAACTGTGATAAGTCCCTAAGGGGGTATCTCACTGACCGGCGAACGTAGCAAATTTGGAGTTTCGCCAGGATTCGCAAAAGGTTGCAAAAGGCTCGTAAAGGTTGCAAGAAAGTTCGTAAAGGTTGCAAGAAAGTTCGCAAACAGTTTTCATTGTCGCAAACAGTTTTACTTGTTCTTTGCGAATTTATTTTTCCACAAACAGTTGCAAGCATTTGCAAACGGTTGTAGGACGATGTCTCTGAAGTTCTTTTTTGATTCGCCAATACTAGCTACCACGTTACCATATGGGTCTATATCAAATCGACTCATTAAGTAGTCAGCAAAAGGTCCCAAACATTCACAAATAGTGGCAAAGGATTGGAAAATAGTTGCTAATCTTCGCAAAAACTGTCGCTAACATTTGCTTACAGTCGCTGCCTTTCGCAAACATTCACTCAAAATGTTGCCAATTGTCGCTAAATGTCGCAGAGGCGAACCCTGATTTTTTCGACAACATTCGTCAGAAAAGATGGCGAATCCAAATTCGCAACGTTCCAGGGGTGATAGTGTCAGTGAGCACTAAAGAAAAAATAGGTTTTTTGTTTTCCCCTCGACCACGCCCCCCTTGAGTAAAAAAAAAAGAAGAAGAGGATTCGCGGGGAAAAAATGGCATCTAACAACATTCCCCCCTTTCGAATAAGAAAAATGGGACAAAATTGGGGAAAAATAGGGAAGAATAGAGATAATCAGAGGGAAATCGGGAAAATCAGGATACAATAGGGAAGAAAAAAAATGGTTTAAAAAAAAAAAAAAAAAAAAAAATGGATTTTTAATTTTTTTTTTTTAATCGGGAAGAAAATGAAAAAAATCGGGAAACAAATCGGAAAAAAAAATCGGAAAAAAAATCGGAAAACCGATTTAAATCGGGTTTTTATCAGGCCTGCGTTTGTAAGCAAACACCGCTCAGTGAGATACCCCCTATATGAGAAACCTTGGTTCAGCACTGTTGTATAACATTACCTATAAATTGTACTTATGTAATCATTCCCCCTAGTAAACAAGATGCGAAATCAGTTTGGGCATACCCTAGCCATTAGTATGCGCTCAAGCAAAAATTGATTTTTATTTCTACCAAGAACATTTTAACCGTACTCGATATAAGAGTGAAAAAGGGATACCATTGTCATTACCTGGGCCCCCATCTTATAACCAGTTGCGATTAATTTGCAACTATGTACATAAGAGATAGGAGACTGTAAACTTGTCATTGATTGGAGAACTTGCGATTGATTCGGATCAATCGCAACTCTTCATGACATGGGCCCCTGGTTTTCAACTTAGACTAATTAATACACAATCAGGTAACATATCAACAACAAAACAGAAACAAACAAAAAATGATTGAACATCATCAAATTCGTTTTCTTTTAAGTTTTAACTTCTACAAGTATTTCAATAAAACATACGACCACACATAAATGGAATGGAACGATATATTTGATTTCTTTGAAGTTTTGAACTAATGTAAAATAGCTTTGATTTCTAGGCAATTACAAACACATTTGGTAAATGTTGGAAACAGGTAATTTCTGCTCTTTTAACAATAGTTATTGAAATAATTTTTCTCAGAACTAGAATTGTACAAGAGCCATAAACTATCTCTACCTCTAAAAAAAAACACCCACAAAAAACAATAACAAACACATAGGCCCGAATTCACAAAGGAGGTTTGTCGACAAACCTCCTTTTGTTCTTTACAAACCAGGTTTGTAAAAAACGCGTAAAAACGCGTCATATGACGTACGAAAACCAAGGTTTGTCGACAAACCTCCTTTGTGAATTCGGGCCACAAAGTATGAGAGAGAGGGGGGGGGGGGAGAGTATTTATGAAGGGTTAATAACTGAAGACAAACTTCCACTTTTTCTATTTCTTCCTCAGTCTGTAAATTTCTGCAGGGAAAACAAAATCTAACACCACCAAATTTGTATCTATTGTTAGTAAAGATTCAAAATAATATTGTTGGCATATACAACATTTCAAACAAGGGTGCCATACATAGAAAGGAATGCATGGGAGCAAGCCAATATAGACCCATCAAATTTTATTATGAAAGAAGGGTTCAATACAATATTTGAGTCATATATGGGAATATATATCTATGGGTAATATAACACTTGAGTAATCTAATAACTGTAAACAGCAGATAAATAAAATCTCTGAATTGGCCAAGGTCGTTACAAACTTATAGCACACTGTACAGTGATACAGAAAGCGACGGTGCATTGAGAAATAAGAAAAAAGAGGGTGCATTTATGGCATACAGTCTCTCAATAATGCAGAAAGAGTCCAAGAGCTCAAGGATTCGTTGTGCATTGATTATGAGCCATCCGAGTGTAATCAACGGTGTGCTTTCATACAAATATGAATGATAAAATGTTATCCATAGTTAAGCCAATGATTGCATCAACTGTGTGTGAATTCTGGTATACAATGGATTTTGTGCTTTACACACGATTCCTGTTCATACTAAAAAGCCTGGCTTTCAAAACAGGATTTACAAAGAATTTCAGAGGTGGGGCAAACATGGAAACAAATAATATTGCACTGCACACCATCCAGCTTCAACCTATGACTGCTTGTTTCAGTTTTATACCAAACTATAAACTTTGATTTCAATGTGGAGGTGTAGATGAAGAAAAAAAAAGTCTCCCAAACTGTATACATGTACACTCTGATTTCAACATGGAGCTGTACATGAAGAAAAACTTGCTCTCATGTGAGACATAATAACAAATAAGCACATTGTACTTCTCTTCATCTCTTGAGCAACCAGTATTATGGACTCTAAAGAGGGAGGGACACTATTATTTCATATAATACATGAAGACACCAAGAAAATGTGAGGTGGAGATTTGAATAGTCTTGTGAGCAGGTTTGAAGGGGTAACATTTCCAGTATAGGACAAAGGGAACTGTGCAGCCGTTAAGCCGTTAATCATCATCAGACGGAATGAAATAAATATTATATACCTCATACATAGATTGTCATTCACTGATTGGTCAAAACTCAATATTTGTATACTCCCCCCAAAAAAAATAATAAAAAGAAAAGAATTAAACCTTCCTTGTACACTCTCCACTTCTCACTACGAAGGTGGAGGAGGTTTAATGGCTTCTTTGAACCATTCTGTGACCTGATCCGCATACTTTTCTCTCCATGCGATTCTCATCCTGATGTCTTCCATGGTCTGCTTCAGGGTACGCTCTGCTGTTCCAGCGGTGTGCTCCGAAAAGAAGGGCTCCACCTGTAGACAGAAACATACATCGTATATTGTGAAGTGTCAAATCTTTGGGCCGGGAATGTCTACTAAATGTCAGAAAGGTAGAGCTAAATAAATGCAGTTTATGCGTGTAAAGTAAATGCTTGGTATACTTGGTAGATTAGTCCTCTTTTCCTAAGGGAAGGGCTCTCAATTGACTCTTAAAAGTCGCCACTGTAGGTGCAGACACTACTTTTTCTGGTAGGTTGTTCCAAGGTTGGACCACTCTGTTAGTATAAAAGTGGCCAGCCAGTTGAGTTCTGGAACGTCTTTGGAACTCAACTGGCTGGCCACTTTTATACTAACAGAGTGGTCCTTCTCTCTATTCACAAACAAAATGTGACCAAGCAAGAGTAAAAAAAAGAATGATAATCTTCTAATTTAGAATAGGTTATGAACAAAACAATATTCCCCGCCTGTATCTATTCTAACAACTACATAACAATAACTTTTTCTTCCAACATTCAATTTGCCGCAAATCATAACTGGAAAAAAACAAGAACATGCCTACTAATAAGAGAATACATTTAAATCTTACATATTTATATTCGAATTTTTTAGATATCCACCATGTAGTCCCGGTAATTAGACTTGACATCACAAATGGCTGCAAACCAATCCTATAATGACATGAAAGGAGAAAGTCATTGTACCTCACTCACTAAGGATGCTTCAAAAGATCAATACATCATATCATCATGTAACAAGGAATCTCCCGCAGAATGTTACTATAGCACAAACATCAAAATATCTTACTTTCAATGTAAACTAATATTATACAAATACCGCACGTCCCAGAGTGCAATAGCGGTGAATGCAGTACACGAGAGGTTTCTTTAGATTGGTGCCGCTCTGTGAACGAGCCGCTTGCGGCGAGTTTACGGTGCGCACCATCTGAAGAAACCGAGCGTACACTGAAACAGGCCTAAATCCGAGGCAAAAGTAAAATAAAAATTTGCTTTTTAATAATACCCCGCTCTAGCTAGCTAGCTAGAGCTAAGCTACGCGTACGTTGCGCTGGGGATCATGGTGGAGCGTGCAATATTAGCTACGCGTAGCCTGCAATAATTGCAATGCACTCGAGGGAGCGCGTACTACACGTACGCGCGCGCACTGGATCGCCATGGTCACGTGTATTATTACTTTTTTTGCGCTTTTTCTGCACTCATTTCTGCAAAATCGTGCTTGCATCAAATTTTTTTCAATGTCATGTGACGCGTATTGACCAATCACGATGCTTAAAATACTAGAGCCATTTTATAATCATTATTACCCGTATCAGACATCTGAGCAGTGGTTTTACAAAATCATATTACACTTGTTGTAATCCTAAAAGAGAAAATCAGTAAATATTAGACCATATAACCCTCTCATGAAAAGCCTATGGACTTTACGAGTTAAAAAAGCAGGAAATAAAGTCTCTTATAAAATGGCTCTAGTATTTTAAGCATCGTGATTGGTCAATACGCGTCACATGACATTGAAAAAATTTGATGCAAGCACGATTTTGCAGAAATGAGTGCAGAAAAAGCGCAGTAAAAAGTTATATTGCACGGTGCGTACGCGTGACCATGGAGATCATAGTGCGCGCGCGTACGTGTAGTACGCGCTCCCTCGGGTGCATTGCAATTATTGTAGGCTACGCGTAGCTAATATTGTACGCTCCACCATGATCCCCAGCGCAACGTACGCGTAGCTTAGCTCTAGCTAACTAGCTAGATCAGAGCGGCCAGGGCCAGCGGGGTATTAATTAAAAAGCAAATTTTTATTTTACTTTTGCCTTGCATGGATTTAGGCCTGTTTTGACTTTTGGATTTTATAATGAAGCCAGGAATTTCAGCTGTCTGATGTAGGCTCGTCTCTAGACCCACTGTATGGATTTTATTTTTAATCAAGGCAATGAATCCCATTGACTTTTTGGTAAGCCTGCAAGGTCTTAGTCTAGAAGTAGAACCAACATAACTCTAGATCTAGATCTAGATCGAACTCTCGTAGACTCTAACTTATTAGATCTAAAGTTTCGTTTGTTGCTATTTGTGTCGCTATTTTATAAAACAAATAACGCACTTGACCCTGTTGTGCAAAACGTAAATGCAGTAAATGCTCGGTTTCTTCAGATGGTTCGCACTGTCAACTCGCCGCAAGCGGCTCGTTGCACAGAGCGGCACCAATCTAAAGAAACCTCGCGCGTACTGCATTCACCGCTATTGCACTCTGGGCCGTGCGTTATTTGTATAATATTCACCGCGCCGTATTTTGTTATTTTCATCGCGCATCTATTATTCGTACGAGAATCTGCGCACTTTGCGCGCACTCTATTGTGACGTAATAATCTCACCAGTGATGCACAGTGCTGGTTTGACAAAGTTTGTTCAGTTCTATGAGAATGTCATGGTTGATTTATGTATCTGCTCTAGATGTCTGATTTGGATAACAATAACAATATTGACTGGCTAAACTTTCGGGAGATACCACATATATTGCCCTCATAAGTCTAGTTTGGGAAATATATGTTGCTTCTTCCTCAAGGCCAGTCCATATTAAATAATTATTCCATGACTCTAGATAATGTATTGGGTAGACACAAAAATGAAATAAATATAACAGTAATGCTAAATATACAAACAATTAAAAAAGGAAGGTTAAACAAAATATTCTCAAACTTTCAAAGAAAAATAATTTATTCTGCATGTTTGCAACTAAACATAATTTAATGTGGTATAAAAAAAAACAATGATAAATTATAGAAGGTTAACTAATTCATTTTATATTTACTTTTCCCATTTTGTGACCATAATCATCTGTACTTTAAACAAATTTCTCTTGTAATGCATGCTGACAAAACAATTCTCTTCCCTCTTTCTTTTTCTAGGATTCATACTGCCAGAGTTCATGATCATTCACGTAAATGCATTGCACCACTTTGAAACTGAATACAGACTCATGAAGCAAGAAATGAGTGGATAAGTAAACATTACACCCCGACCAAGGATCACACACACTACAATGACTTACGATTTCTGAATCTTGTCCCAGTTGTCGATGACATAGCGAAGAGCTAAGTAGGAGCCAGCTCGTTGGTAGGCCACCAATGTGATTACGGACACATAATCCTGCTGAAGAATCTTACTACCGTCCAATGCAAACTCAAGGTACCTGGATAAGATCAATAGATGAAAAAATAAAAAATAATTTCTATTACATGTACATACATATCAGCAGAATCCTAAAGAAGGATTCTACTTCTGTATGGTTCTAACTGAAGCCACCTAATGAAGAATATTACTCAATTTCTAAAATTTTAAAATTATAAGAAACATACCGTATTTGCCGGAGTAAAGGCCGCAGTATTTTTGGAAGAGAAAATATCAAAAAGTCAGGGTGCGGCCTTTACGGCGAAAGAGTAAAAAAAAAAAAAAAAAAAATCAAGTAAAAAAACAGCACGAATTTGCACACATGGGACTACGAACGGTACAATAACTATACCACTATGGTACAGGACATTTCCACACATCTTACCGACAATTTATCTTGCATTGACAAGAATACGAAAATAAATTGCTAAACCAACAGTTGCCGATAGATCTTGATCTCAGTTCGTGCCAATGCATTGCAAAAGTAAAGGAAGGGACCATTTAACGGAGCTGCCGCGAAGCATCCATCCAAAGTCGCCATTTTGTTTTCCATTCATGCAGTTTCGCATTACACTGTACATTGTGGTAGGGGTATATATCGGACACCAAATCTGCCCGCGATCACTTTTTTAACTAAACTTCCGGTAAATTATAAGAATATTGATGAATTTGGTATCAGTTTGTAAAAAAAAAATAGTGTTTTACGAGAAAATTACGATTATTTTGTTTTGTCCGTTTTTTGGTTTTTTTTTTCCCTCTTTGAAATGTTAAAGTTGGGGTGCGGCCTATGCGGCGCTGCAGTCTTTTCTCTTTTTGTAACTTGCCAAAAACTGACAATCTAGTCTTTGAAATGATTGATGATTTCTTAATTCATCACAGCAACGACTCACTACTCCTAACTGTAAGAAATTCTCATATGCTTCCTCATCAATGAATACTTAACATTTCAGCCGACTATATAAAATCAACTAGTATGCTTTCAAGGAAGTTTGCTGTTGCTTCTTCCGTCATTTGTGAATTCTGCAAACATGAACAAAACTGTGAAGGAATTTTCACAATACAGCTTGATATTTGTCAGGTCTATACACAGTACAATCTAGAGATTCTAACTTGTATAACATTGACTAACCTGCTAAGTATATCTGGATCCCGCGTGCACGCTAAGACACTTTGAAGCAATTCTTTCTCTGTAGGAGAGGTTGAACTCTGGTATTTATTCCAAGCATATTCCCACTCACGTCCTCCTCCAGATTGTACTCCTCCGCACTGTACGATACCCTGCAAGTTGGCTCCTACAGTACTGAAAGAAAAACAAAAAAATATACCAACAGTTAGTACAAAATTGTGGGAATATCATTGGATGAGGACAGATTAAACATATATAGAAATGATTACCATATTTCATACAAACTGAACACGACTATAACACTACAATTGCAATATTTGTTTTTCTGAAAAAAATTGATTGCAACAAATAAAATGAGATGAGGTTAGGAAACGTTGGGTCTGTCCGATTACCATTCAAGTAATAATGCACTCAAGTTAGAAACAAATCTACATTTGCAACTTTACTAGTATCATCACATAAACAATATGATCATCCTAACTTTCGAACTTATCCTAATACCTCACTCAATGATACATGTTCGCAAAGCCCGAGTGTAAAGCAATTCTTTACCTGTATGCGTGACCGAGGCTTGCCCGACATAGCAACAAGTAATGTATGCAGACTGGATTCCAAGTTCAACTCGTCACTAGGTCCTCACAAGAGAAACATCCATAAATTTGAATATGTTAGTATACCGGTCTCTTGATTTGCTGGACGCAATGTTCCCGGAACCACCGGTAGGTGGCGCACCACACGACTAGGGCTTTAACGGATCACTCTCAATTACTTTCGTAGTAAAATACCAGGTAATGACCTAAAATGCCCCAGATATGTATGTTGTAGCCAACATTTTGACATTGTATCGCATGGAACGCCTTAGAATGGTTTCAAGAGGGTTAAAACGCTGAAAAACATACGAAACAGTATATATCTGAGCCAAAAAGTGAATTTTATTGTTTTATTTAGTAGACCTGTGACGTCACACAGAACGTCATCTTCGGCATCATAGGTCTTGGAAGCAACGTCTTCGGAAGCATTCGGATGCTCGGAAATGTCACCCAAACAAAGTTGAAAGTTCAAGATGATCATGAGGCAAATGGCATCGATGATGGGTAAGTGAAACAAAATTGATACAAAATTTGAGCGATTTTGAGCGAGTAACTTTTTAACGGTTTAGATTTTACACTACTCGAATCATTATTCGCTACGCAAAAGTGTAAATGTAGAAATCGCGTGAACTTGACCAGATTATTTAGCATGTTGGCGCTTAAAATTAAAATGCCATGCACATGGTCATGGGAAAGTGTACCCACGTAGATCTAGTCCCTGCACGTGTTATGATTCTTATTTCGCGGCGCTGAAAATCGACCTGTATTGCCGGACACCGTGTTATGTCTATGGCGAAACGCAAAAGTCGGGAGTCGCGCGAGAAGAAAATGCACGGAAAACAAATAGCAAAATGACATTCTCAAAACAAACTTGACAGCCATTCACTTTGCACGGGCATTAGGAAAATTGGATTATTTCATGAAAAAGGCATGTATTTGTCACTCATACGTTAGGCTAAGTTAGATGTGTACATTTTCTATTTTTTTTTTGGTGTTCTTACGATGCGTCATACATTTCTTGATCACCCCACTCGACTTGCACATTCGATACGTGTAGTCCCGCGCGTAGAACGCGCGTCCGGTAATTCAATAGTGTCCGGTAATACCATGCGTGGGCATACGTGTTCATCTCGTATGACGGGGGCCCTATTACCATTACCGTCCACAATTATTTCAGGTCCTCAATTTGTCGATCAAAACATGAAATCTACGAGTAGGTTTATGATAAAAAAGAAACTTCTGTATTTTTATTCCCTGAAATGGCACTCCGTATCAACCTACCAGTTTGTTTATATCGCTGTTCAAAATGACCCTAACCTTGTCGTAGTCTTCTTTTTCGTGCTCACAAAATCGGTATCATGAGAGGTTGTATTTCCGGACGGGTTGAGTACCCGGACGCGTCTTATTTTTTCGTACCACGGCGAGCCCGGATTCCTGTTTTATCATGAATATTCATTAGGCAGGGCCGGGAAAGTCTCGATTCTCTTGAATATTCATGTATGATCGAGGCATGCGCAGCATCGAATATCGTGTGTAACAAGTACGTTGGATTAATGGCAGGCCTATAATATGACATAGAAAAGCAATGTCATGGTCATTTAGATAATACAGTCATAAATGCTGTGTTTATTACTAGTAAATGCCAAAATGTCAGTATCGGTAGACAAGATATATAGCATATATTTCAAGTAAGAGTCTTGATAGGCAATTTGTGAGTAGCCTAGGCCTACTTTTCTGAGATTAATGGGAGTCTAGTTCTTTTCATGAATTGGTAAATAATCAGTTCTAGGTTTGCTTTTTAAATATTACAAGCAGAGGTTGCATTATGGTATTGAATATGTGATACAGTATTATAAACTGTATAAAATAGATAACAAGAATAGGCCTACATACAGACATTTATCAAAAATAAAATACTTGTGTATTGCACTTAAATTATTTCTATGATCTATGCTCACTTAACTGCATAAGGAAGAAAAAGAAGAAAGAAAAATGGGATTAGAAAGAAGAATAACAAAGTTAAAAAGTAAAATATATATAAATAATAAATGAATGGAAGAAATAAAGAATACGGAATAGATACCAAGGAAGAAAGAAATAAATTGCAAGAAAATTGAAATGAAAAGAAGACAAAAGAAAAAGGGAAAGGAGCAAGATAATATTGATACCATATCTTCAATCTTGTTTTCTTTTATCTTGCCTCTTGTTTTTGTTTTGGCCTAGCTACCATTTTTTCCTTTCCTTTCTCTTTTTCTCTTAAAAGTTCTCTTTGGTTTCTTTCTAAAATAATGAGGGAAGAGGGGGGGGGGGGGTGGGGGACTCGATGATAATTCATCATTTGAAGGTTTACAATGTGAAGTCAACGAGTTATATGCACCCACTGAAGAAAATCCATGTACAGGGTTGCTGCAGGAACCCTAGCACCCACAGATCCCATGTATGATGAGACAAACTCGAGAGAAAACTACACATTCTTTCACATACATTGAAGAAAAAAAAGAAGAAAAAAATCCAAGATCGGTTGAACTCTTTTTGACCCCTCCCCAGGACGTCGATCAATTACATGTATGTGCCCCCCCCCCCAAACTCTGGCTACAGCCCTGGCGATAATTACCCACTATTCAAATCTGACAGGTGCCCCTTTTTCTTCAACAAATGCCCCTTTAACTTCATAAGTGCCACTGTTCCATTTTCATAAGTGCCCCTTGTACGTGATATCTGATAAAAGCCCTTTCATTTTTTTTTACTTTGACACGCGTCCCCTTAAACTTTCTAACGAGTGCCCTTTTACCTTTTGATATGTGCCCCTTTCCCTGTTTAATAGGAGCCCCAACCCCAACCCTTTCTCATAAATGCCCCTTTGACACATGCCCCCTTTTCCTTTTTTTATAATTCCCCTTTTCTCTCTTTCTCTGTCTTTCGAAAACTATCTTCTGCAAGGTTTGTTCTCTTGACTGAGCAACCTGTTGCAATTCCTTTCTGTCTCACTTTCAGTCGTACTTGTTGCCACTCATTTGCATTCACTCGTTATCAACTACCATCAACCATTCCATATTCACTCCATTACTGTCCACATTTCAATTTCATTCTCTTCACTCTCCCTTTTTGCAGCCTTTCCAGGAGCTTTGCTAGAAGTAGAACATTTTTAATGAAGAGGCCAGAGAAACCGGAAAGTATGTTAATCATTTTATTCAAATATCTAACTTGAAAAAAAGGAAAGTGAAACATTGTTTAATTACAATATATTGACATAATTTTGTTAAAGAAAAAAATTTGAATTTAACACTGGAAATTTGTAATTGGTTTGCCAGCCCCCCCCCCCCCAAAAAAAAAACACACACACTCAAAACACAACAGTGGTACCAGGGTTTTTGTTAGGAGGCCCATGTACTGTATAATTTTTTATTATTAAGAATAGTTTTCTCTTTTTTATTAATTTGACATTGGCATACCGTAAATTTCACCAGGAACCCCCCCCCCCTCCCGACACTGCCATTACTTCTACCAACAGTAATGCTATAATTCAAAATTTCACTTTCTAAATCCTTCTAATATAAACATATAATCATATTTGTACAGAGGATAAGATAAGAGGATAGCAAGCCCCCCCCCCCCCCCACTCCCTGTTTTCTTTAGTTGGGAAGCATCGAAACATGATTCTATGAAAGCTACCAGTTTGGATACGAAAGGCAATGAGGATTAGCAGTTTCCATATTTAATGCATTTAGAGTGTTGTCTTTCAAACCTTCTTACATACAATACTTGAAGTAGCAATAATTTCATAATCTACAAAACTTCCCATACAGAAGTCCATAGAGGTAAATGAATTTTAACATGTATAATTATAATCAAAATATCATTGATTAATTCAATCTTTGATATAGACTGATAGACCTTTATCAATCAAATTTGAAGGAGAATCTTTCTGCCCAGTCCTCAGTTTCATCCTATAAGATGGTAGTTGACATTGTTAGAATTTTAATGTTTATTCGTTGAGGATTAGTTATCTTTATCTATTTGAAAGTCGACAAGATGATAAACTTCATTAGCTTTATTGAATGTAGTATTCTACAAACATATAATACAAATAACAAATAAATATCATGTAAATATTCCAGTTTAAACCCATCTCTATTGTCCTTTTTCATTATATGAGGGTGGCATCTTTAAGACGTAGTCTCGTGTAGATATCTTCTGCATCCATCACTAAAGTTGTAGCCTAGTTTTCCGAAAAAAATATAACCCAAGTCTGTTGAATGGAAAAATGAAATAAGATATAAAAAAATCAACAATGACTAATAACATACACCCTGATACCTGCTCAGAAAAAGGAAGGACTGAAATTCACTTGGGGTTCTAGTGGGCAAACCTAAACTATTTTTTGTACAAGACTAGTTTAAATACTGACCGCATCTTAAATTATTACTGATGATCCCATTAAGACGATAGGCCTGCTGGAGCTCGGATCAGACAAGGTATGAAATAAGTAATACAATGTAATGCAACTCGTGCTCATACCGGTAATTGAATAATACTCGGTTAAGTATGGGACATAAAATGACCAAACAACTTTGACCAGAGAAT